ACTACAATCTTCTTCAATTAAGTTAACATCAATTAACTCTTGTATTTCATCATCAAGCGTTCTTAAATTATTTTTTCTTTTCGGTTAATAATTCAAACAATTCTCGTAATTCTTTAATCAAATTTTCCTCCCCTTCAATTTTTAATTTATCTTCAATCACTTTAATTAACCTAGTAACAGACGATCTCAATGTGGAACGTTTACGTTTCAATCTATCTAACTTCTCTTCCATTTTATTTAATTTAAATACACCCACGACAGTAATAATAAATACTTACTAATGTACTACAAATAATCACTAAATAATTAATTTAAGATTTCCCTACCGTTATTTGGAATTCTATTGTCCCTCGAGTATGAAATATCCATTGAAATCGAAACACTTGGATCGAACATTTAAAATCTTCACAAAGCCTTAATTCCTTACGCCGATGCACCATCTAATAATTTTGTGCATCTCCAAATCAGATGATGGTGGTTCAGTGGGTTTACTAATCTGAACACTTTTACGTTTTTAACAATATTTTAATTACTATATACAGAGCGTATTCTTAGGCCGCCGCCTTCAACATGAACAAACTTTATTCTCTACAACTAAGCGAGCAACAGCGCCCTCTAGCCTTTTTCTTCAAATTACACAACATGAGGGTCTTAAAAAACTAAACATGGCTAAAATATATGGAATGGTTTGTGTTGAGCTGCCATCTTCTATAAATAAAGAAGGTTCAGAGTAACCTATAGTAACCTATAAATCCTTTTTCATTCAATTTTTCTATGCGTACAGAAGGAAATTTTTAGGTATGTCCAGACCGGACACACTATGCCACAAAGGGTTAACGATTATTCGCAGCTGACATGTCAAGATGTCAATTAACGTTAGCTAATCTATATACGAAATTCTTGTCCGCCAACTCCGTTGGTAACACGATGCACGTTCATACAACGTCGCACGTTTCCCAAATTAATACCTGGAACTCTGGCGTACAGAGCTACGTCTTCGTTTCCACTCCTCATTCCTGTGTAAATATGGGTCATATCAATCCAGAATTGCCCATAGAGTTTTGAGACACCATGTATAACACAGAATTGCTCTGAATATAGTGAATTCATTCTCGTCGAAATTTTCAAAGTCTGTTTATCAAAACGTTCCGTAGATTTAGCTAGAAGTTAATTGTTTGGTAAGTGGTATGAAAATATATGACAATTATTTTGGTGGGAATCTATCCAACATATTGGTAAATTTTAGAGAATATATTGCATAAGCTGCGAGTGATAACAAGAGAACTGTCTTGGTATTGATCTTTATGCAATAGAAGGTGCTTAAACTGCAGTAGTTTACATTAATGTTGAAGCTAAGCAACCTAATTATCGGATAATACATACTAATATTTATGTAGATAGCAGCCTTCAAGTTCACCACCAAATTAAATCATAAAGATATTTAATTATTTCTCTCGTAAGGTAGCCTCCTCGTAAGGGCGTAAGGGTTATGAATGTAATACTAAGACATAGCTGAAATTCGAATATTGTTAAAAAGGTCAACCTTTTAATTCACAGACCAGATAAAATCGGAATGTTTCGACCAGAAATAAACCAAACCGGTGCAAATATGAGTAAAAGTTTTGACAATATTTCCATAGACTTATGTTTGATTTATAGTAAAATGATGTTTTATAATACATATCAAATAAAGTGTATCTTGGTACTTAATAATAGTAAATCTCTTTTTTTTTAAAGAAAAAATGCATTTAAACTTAGCAAAAAAGTTAAATTTTAAACACCTGATTCAATTTTTAAAATCTTGATTAGGTGATAAGATGTCGGATTGTTCTTAAACCGCTCATCTATACAGACATGTTGATCAGAGAAGAATGATTTTTCTTTTCTGTGAAAAGACACATTTGCGCTTTTCTGTCTCCAAATCGAATTATCGCCTTTTATCGAGTTAACAGGAAAAGCATTATGTCTGTTACTAATCTGCCTTTTGACCTGGAATCAGTAAATACTTTCTAGACTTGCTGGTCTCGCATTTCTTGATTTTACGACGGGCTATCGGTAATTTTCTTGAGAAAATGCGTAATGATTTTTTATTATTATCAATATTACTTCGAAAATAGTCTGAACTTCTGTCTGTAGGTAATGCCATTAGAACGAATTAAATTAACTCATTTCTCACTGAGTGTGAAAGTTTACCTGTCATATACATCTAAACTAATTTCATGGCGAATATAAAATACATCAGGCAAAAATTATCGGAGTACATACTTAAATTGGAACTAATTTAGTTACTGTTAAAATCTAAAAGCAGGTTTATTGTTTTCAATAAGCGTTACTCGCTGTCGTAAGATACTGCATTTACTTAAAATAATAGCACAAAAATAACTAATAAAATAGCATCTAGTAAATGTTCTCGCTAATCCACGTTCTAGCACGTAACATCTTTCATTTATCTTCCAACGCCTGTCATGCCATCTGGCTGCTGTTATTAAGCATGAGAGTGATTTCACTAGGCATCATTAAGCATAAAATACGTAAGATAGAAATCATCGAAGTATATTCTTATCTAGGGGCTAATTTAGTTACGGTAAAATCTGGAAGTACGTTTATTGCTTTCAATAAGTGTTATTTGCTGTCTTGGAAAATTTCATCTAGTAAAATATAATAACATAAAAAAAAAATACTTTTTAAAAATAAAGAAATAAAAGAAAATCTGAAAGGTTTCAGATTTTAAATTACGTCCAAAGGGGCGTATTTTTAACATTTCGTCTGTTACCTTTATTTATTAAATATCCTGTTCTTCGCACTTAAAGCATAAAATTCAGTTAATGAGAAATATCGCAAAATAATTTTTAATTGAGCATATCTTTAGAATTTCCGATACACACTCTCGCGCGCTGGAGATAAAAATGTTTTTTACTGTACAACATTGCCATTGCTCGCTTTGAAATCCTCGAGTTTGTTAATCAAAAGTTCGTTAAATTTTTACAAAATATGAAATCGATAATAAAACAAATTCGAAATATCGAATTCGGGCTTCCAGATGCCAATATTCGCGGTAGGATTACGTCATTCAAAACTGGATGGCTCTGGATACCGTTGTTTTACCATAATGCGAGAAACATATGTACATTTATGCAGATTCTTCATTATTTAATTTCTTCAAATTTAATACAGGGAGATAATATTTCGTGGCAAGAGTCTGAAAAGTGAAACGGGCATTCAGAGTGATTCGACGCAAAATTGCAAAACGAAAACAATAGTCCTTCAGGGACAAAGCCACTTTGGACTAAAAATAACATCTAGTAAATGTTATTTCTAGTACACGTTCTAGCATTTTTCGTTTATCTTCTGACACTTGTATGGCATTTGTCTGCTATTATTAATTCTTAGAAAACAGGAGATTTACAACCTGTATGTTTAAAATACTGAAATGTCCGTATCCGTCCATTAGCGTTCCTGTCCTTTCTCCTCGTTAAAAAAGAAGCTTCCATTAGCGTTTTACAACAAGCTCTTTTCAATAAAGTGATGTAATTTATTTGGGAAAACTGCCCCTGATACTGCATATTTAACGGAAGAAAATAGCATCGCTATCTCGGCCGTTTTGGACGGCTGTGGTCGTTTCAATGAAGGGTCGTCTCGGATGTTTTGGCTTTCAAAGAGTCAAGCACAAGAGTGCTGCACTTACAACTTATAAAGTTTCGCTTACTTTTGGAGCATAAACTAGTTTCAGACATACGTAACAGACGTAAAGCGAATTATCGCTGTGTCTGAAACAACTTCCGAGACTTGAAAAGGTTTCATAAAACCAGAAATGTGAACATAAATGCACTTCTTGTGCTAACAGTATCAACCACCACATATGGCGATGCAACTAAAGTAACAGTCAAAGTCAAGTTTGACTCAAGTAACAGTCAAAGTCAAGTAATTAGTAGTTGAAGAGGACACAATTTAATTTAAATCTAAGCTGGCTGAAAAACACTAACGAGCGCGGTAAACTAATACGCAGTAAGTAACAAGCAACCTTAAGAAACGTAACCCACAGCAGTTACCATATAGAGTTGCGGCATCAGCGCAGCGTGCAGTCATCACGCCAAGTGTTTTTATATGACTGGACGCTGGAAACATACGGGATAGCTGAGGTATCTACAAATTATAAAATATCTAGTTCCTGGGAAAGTACATGATAACATACATACTTCCAAATCAACAACTATTAGAATATTCACAGAACAGCAATCCTTGACAAGTCTGCCAAGATTCTATTTAACGACGGCATAAATCAGAATATGGACCGCACGGTGGCGAAGTGGCTAGCGCGTCGCGCAGCTACTTCACAGGTTTGGGGTTCGATCCAGGGGCTGGGCAAGGTTGACTCAGCCTTTCATCCCTTAAATGGGTTGATGAAACGCCCAAGTTTGCTTGGGGTCTAAACACAGGGGTCCTGCGATAAGCTGACTACTTTCCCAAGGCATATAGACCCAAAGGTTCCGTGACCCAAAGGTCAAGAAAACAGAAAAAGGGCACTGCAGGCCGTGGCCCAGTAGAACTGTTGCACCACTGAGTTTAGTTTAAATTGGAATATGACTAGGGAAGTAGAATGTTTATGATCTATGACTGTGTGGGACTAGAATGTTAATGTGCCGCCTTATTAGCAATCAACATCCCCAATTTATTCACTCGTTTAGGGATTTCGGCCCATCAATATGTGTTCGTATATCTAACTAGTTGCAGTTAACTTAGAATTCAGGGTTTCCACATTTATACATACATATTCAGGGTTTCCATATTTATACATACATATTCAGGGTTTCCATATTTATACATATATATTTTATCATACAGGAAACAAATTTTGCTCGCTTCCCCCTTTGGAATCTCAAAGTGGCTATAAATGCTTATTAATATCTAAAATACTGTAATCACACATGAAAGCTGAATCAAAATTTTCATTATTGAAAACAGCAGTTTAAACATATTTCCACAAATTTTAGTTATCTTACTTTGTTTAAAAGCTCTTCTGCTTTGCTCAGTATTGTTTCAAAGCTCTCACGATGAAGAAATATTTTTCTGGATTGGATCTTCCTGTGGAAGGTTTTCTCCAGAAGCATCATTCCCACTTGCCGACCAAGGCTTCTAGCAATATCTCCATGTACCTATAATGTAAAACCATTAAAATGATTAACTATGGATTTTGAGAAATAATAAAATATTCAGCATAACTTATTGAACAATATCTAATGTTAAATCAATAGGTAAAAAAAGTGATAGTAAACTTTATCGTAGTGTACGTAATATGACATAAATATCGTTGACTCTTGAACAACTTTGTGGTCCCTTCCTTCTTCAACTATCACCAACTAGCGTACGACATTAAACTCTTAACTATTAACAGAGTGCTTTGACCAGAAGCCTTACACCCGACTAATGAATGTTTATTATGTTACAAGTTAATAGTATAGGATGTTGTACTTGATAAAATATACTTTATTACTTACAGATATCTTATTATTTTAACACTGAAATACTGAAGTGAAACGGGGAAAATAAAATAGTTTTCAGAAAACCATAAGAAAATTCATTTACGATATTGTATTTTCCGATATCTAAATTCACTATCTTTATTTAAAAGATGAATCGTTTATCATTTGACACTTGTATGAGTATTATTGTATATGACATAAAACACTGACATAGAGCATACGTATTACTAGCTCTAGAAACCCCCCAAACGATATAGCGGTTAGTGACTCTGACACTCGTACCAATGGGACCATATTCGAATTCTGGAGAAGGTAGGAATTTTAAGAAGGCCAAGGAGAAATTCCTTCCTAGCTGAAGACCACTGATTTTAGATAGTTAGCTAGTGTGTTAGGGCTATATCAAGTTTGTCTGGATTTGTGATGGTGTCCTACACACATTTATTCTTGGCCTGTCCTGTTGCATAGCTGAAGGGCATGTGGCTCCTGCATCATAAAGTGCCCATTGTGATATTTATAAAACCATCGATAGGCAAGATAGCAAATTTGCAGTTGAAGAGACCTCATTCTGAAAGGACCTCATTCTCATTCTGTGGCATAGTCTACAAAAATCAGCGTGGAAATTTCATTTGCTGACTGTGATATGCAACGGTACTGATTGTAAATATGCAGCGGTAATATGCAGTTACTGTAATATGCTGACAGTAACATCCAAGCACCGATGAATGAGTCTCTTCTGTGTTTGAGGTATGTTAGATCCCGAAGTACAATCTTCGTCATTCGCTGAATTGAGAATACCATCGTTATGTGAAACACAGTCCATAGATGCAGTTCTAATTTGATATATAATTGTTTCTTCAAGTATAGGTATGGGCGCTTCTCATTTTCAACCATAAATCTTGCCAAACTGAACTGTAGTCAAGCAGTAACATGTGGCACCCTTGAATGATATATGTTTCAGTACAAATTTTATTTCTTTTTATATGCTGGCTATCCGTCTAAAGTTCATATACATATTTAATAAAAATTCAAAATGCACAGAATATCTAAACTTTGAGTTCTTGTATTTTGTATATTAAATTACCCTCTTGCAATACTATTGTGGATTACTATTGTTTTGTCCAAAGACCTCGGAAGATCATTGATTCATATTTAGATGCTGAGTTGCAATACGCCTTATATAACATGAGTTAACTTACTACAGAAACATAATTATTGTAAGTTATGTGCATATGCATATGGCACCAAAAAAATTTTGAAAATGATTTTAGAAGCTTAATCGATTGGAAATACCTTAAAGTCGTAACTTATTTCAAACCCGCCTAAAACTGATATTTGTTACATTTTTTTAGTTTCTTATTCTTGGTTACATTACTAAGCTAAAATAATTAACTTAGCTAACTAATTACATTATGCCGAATTAGTTTAATTCAGATTTTTAATAAATAAATTTAAATCCTGGCTTACATCGCGTAAAATGTTTTAAAAATTTCTAGTACAAGAAAAGTTAATTTAATTGTAAGAGAAAAACTGAATTAAACCCCAAGTGGCGTACGTTGGAAAGTATTTAATTAGAGAGTAGCTGGAAGCTGAACTGTTTAGTTTAAAGACATCATTTTTTTATAAAAGGATAAAAGTAAAGATAAAATACTCATTTCAGTGTGAACACGTTTTAAATTTACTTAATAAAAGGAATTGCCTGTAATTTGAAATTCATTAGATTGTCGTTGAAGGAATTTGATGGTTTTAAACGGTTAAAAGCGAAAACGTTGCGGAGAAAACAGCGCAAGGAGAAAACATCGTAATACAAAATATATTGGGAGAAATGAAAGCAAGGAAAAAACATAGCAATTCTAAAAAGTTCTTGAATGCTTAAATTTCTATATTATTTCCAGCAAAAATTTAATAGTAATATCAAAATATGAAATATAAGAGTATAAAACATACCTCATTCTTTCTTGAGCTCACAAAACATTATGCAGACATGCGAATTTGTAAAGCATGAGAACGTATGTCTGCGACTTTGCGACGATATTTTCGACGATGATGTTTCTAATGTGTGAAGTTTTTTTAATCACTTTATTTTCGATCACGATAAAATTAGCAACACAATAACCTTGAGTTTGACGTAGATTTAAGTCAAGATCTCAATCAATTTCGAGGGCAAAAAAGGATAAGGCTTCTTCATCAGGAACAAAGAGAGCTTCAAGAAGGACCTGTACCTGTTTGCTCTCGAAATCGATTGATATCTTGACTTAAATCTCTGCCAAATTCAAGGTTGTTGTGTTACTAATTTTATGCTTCACTTGACGTGTTTTTCTTCTGCTTACAATAACGATGTTTTAGAACCGCGACGTTTTCTCCTTGCTTTCTTTTCTCCCAAGAAATTTTGTACGACGAAATGCTTGCCTTACATCGTTTTCTCCGCGATGTATTTGCTGCGATGTTTTCGACGGACACCTTTTAAACGCTTAATTTACCTAAGAACTACTATTTACTTTTTAATTGAACTTAATGGACTAGATATCTTAATGTTCCAAATTACTGGAATGAGACATTTATAATGCCTAACCGATGTGAATCTGAAACTCTTCTTCTGTATAAAAGTGAAGCAATAATCTGTGTTAGGTGTAGATTTTTAGCATAGAAACTTTATCGATTTCGAGTGCGAACGAAGTCCTTCTTCATCAGGAGCAAAGAAATTCGCAACTGAAAAATCAAGTTACGAACATATTTATACCCTAAGGAAGTCGAGAGAGTAGCGCCATCTGTTAGTAGAGAAACTCTATCGATTTCAAGGGCAAACAAAGTTCTTCTATTAACAGATGGCGCTACTGTCTTTCCAGTTCCAAAGAAAGACACGAATCATGTCTGTCTTTACGATTCTTAATTCTGATGAAGAGGATTATAGCGATTACGCTGGTTCTGAAATATCCACGCTGTCAATGCCAAACTGTTCACGGAGATTGGAATTTCTGAAAAGTCCTATTACTGAGAAACCTGACAAGTCTAAGAAAATGACTAAAAAGCAGAAAACTGCTACCAACACGGAAATCTTTAGTGAAGTTAAGACCCCTGCAGAATGAACACAGGATGAAAAGATTGCCGATGTCCTGGAAATGATTAAGATACACAGAGCGGATAATTTTCTGAAAATGTTAGCGCGAAAGGAAGTCATACCAAAGCCGCAGCCTGTCTCAGTTTAGCCAGTTGACGACAGATGGAAAAGACTCAGAACAGATGAACCCCCAGCTACTGAAAAAACAAATAATGAGTGGAAATGACCAAAAAAGGTTGCAAGAATTACAGAATAACGAAAGCCTATGGAAGTAGAACAGTTTAACAGATTCCAGATTCTTCAAACTCGAACTGATGATACTGAAGGAGGAAGTATCGACGAAGTAACACCTCCACAAATTGTACTGCCGCACAACGATACTGATTAAACTGTTATGAACGCAGGTTTTAAGCAAAACTGTAAAGAGGAATACGAATCTGTACTAAGATCTCAGTCAATCTTCGTCTATACAAAAACGATGGTAGACTACAAAACCATGCGCCAAATCCTACTGAAACAAATGCAAAGTTCCATTTTTTTCAACCACAGAATGAAAAGAATCGGCGTGTAATTCTTAAAGGATTTCCATCATCAATAAAGGAAGAAGCTATCTTACAAGATCTGGAAAGCTGAAAGTATCCTTTTCAAAAAGTTAAACAGTTTACCCGAAATAAATAAGGAGAAATCACTAAACTTCCCATATTCCTGCCGGAATTAAAAAGAAACGAAGAAGGCCAAATCATTCATAATCTTAGCAATGTTTTCAGCTTCAACGTCACCATTGAAAAGTTTTCATCTGTTTAAAGACCGATACAATGTTATCGATGTCAAGAGTGAGGACATTCTCAATCTTACCGTAAACGCCCTGAAAGGTGCTGCAAATGCGGCAAAAACCATCGCAGTAACCAATTTCAGCTAAAAAAGGACGAAAAACTCAAGTGCATTTTTTGCAATTCAGAACATGAAAATAGCTATCATGGATGTAGCGAATATCGACGACGATTCGAAAAGAAAACTCAAAGACCCCAACCAAAACCTCCTGAACTTAGTAATGTCAACTTCCCTGAAATGACGAAAAATGATAATAATCCAGAAAAGCAAAATCTTCCGAAGATTTCCTACAGCTAGAAATTTCAAAATAAGATTCCACCTTCACCGGACGACATCTAAGAAGCAATGGCCTGGCTTCAAGATGAGAACATCACGAAGTTTTTAGAAACTACTATCTCCATTATCGGAAAGATACAGGCAGCAAAAACGCCAGCAGACAAGTTAAAACTTGAATTTCAGGCAGCCATGATGATAATCAACTTTGCAGAAGCAAAATAGTTCAGCTCCAGTAACCAGCACCAAATGGCGACACACTATACCCACAGTTAACACTAAATCTCAATTTCAAGATCAGTTCCAGAAACTAGCACCAGATGGCCCCAACCCCCAGCTAACCTTAAATCTCGACTTTGGGCTCACTTTCCACGACTGACAAGAGTTGGCGCCATCCAAGCGGCTACAGTAACCAGCACCAAATGGCGACACGCTATACCCACAGTTAACACTAAATCTCAATTTCAAGATCAGTTCCAGGAATCAGCACCAGATGGCCCCAACCCCCAGCTAA